TTCAAATAACCCAGAGAATTGATACTTTCTACTTTGCTCCATTCTAATCAATAAATATAAAGACATTTTAAAATAGTTCCCATTTTATATAAAGTTCCTTGTTGCTTCTCTCTCTCTCTCTCTCTCTCTCTCTCTCTCTCTCTCTCTCTCTCTCAACTAATGCTACATGGACAACAAAATAACTATTTGGCAAAAAGTAAACTTAAGAGTCTGTATATAGGATCATTTTCAGGTAGACTAGAACTGATAACAGAAAAAAAAAAAAACTTAAACATCTAGAAGAGAATATAGCTACTTCTGTAATCTAAGGGTAAATCCAAATATGACACCAAAAGCAGAAGCTTAGAAAAGAAAAAGAGTGTGATGCATTTGAGTTCATCAAAACAAAACTTTTTTCTGGCAATAAATAAATATCAAAATATAAACAAGTAAGCTATTGCACCCTGTAGTCTCAGCACTCTTGGGAGACTGAGGCAGGAGATCACAAATTGGAGCCCAGCTTGGATAACATGGTGAAACTTGCCTCAAGTTAAAAAATATAAAGGGCTGCTGGACTAGCTCAGTGTAAAACAAACAAATTGCCAAGTAAGTCTAACTTACTTAAAATCACTCACCGTAAGAACTATAGTTAATAAAAATGTAATTTTAAACAAGATTTTAGCCACTTCGTTATAGTAATAACTTTATTATATACACATATCCTATAACATCCTCTCATAAGCCTCAAATAAACACACACCAAAAAATCCTCGTTTGTTTTTTTAATCAGTTAAAAAATGACTTAACATACCAGACAAAAAAGGACACTAGAGGCAATATGGAGATCAATTTAGGCATATGTACCAAAACCTTAAAAACTGGCAGTTTTTGACTTACTAGTTCTACTTGAAATAACTTCTACCTTACTATGAAAGTAATTGTCTTAACAGGGCTCTTCGCTGCAGCACTGTTAATAATAGCAAAAATTGAAACAAAACCGCCAACATGAACACGTTCAATTATATTTCATCCCATCTGTGCAATGAAATAATCTGCTTTAAAAACTGTAAAATGAGATTTATATTCATGGACATGAGAAGGAAACCACAATGTATTTGCGTGCACGACAAAGAAAAACTACAAAAGATTACAAGACAGCAAAAATAATGCGCAAGGCAAAGACTTGCTATCAACGTCTGTCTCCCCTAGGCACACAGAAGACCCTACCTGCCCCCCCTGCCAGGGTCCAGCGAGGCCATGTGGTTATATCCTCTGTGACAGAATGTTTGCAACGAGCCCTTGAATTGCACATTACAGAAAACAGAGACAATGTGGGCCCAGCTCTTTGAAGAGCTGCAGGAGAGGACCCAAGTTTCTACCCGACCAGAACCTGGAACATCTGCTCTGGCTGGCTGTGAGAGCGTCGGATGTGTGTCATTATATTTGGGCCTATACTCAGCAGAGTGGCCTGTCCTAATACAGTGGATGCCAGCAGGCCAGCTTGCCAGTGAAACCTATCTGAATACATCCACAGCTCAGATGCATCAAAACTTATGTTTATGGTGTCCAAGAGACGTCCGGGAGAACATGGCGGACAAATAACAGCAGCCATGGAGGCTCTCTGAGATTACCAGTTTAGAATCCAGGAGCGGTGCTGTGTGAGGAGTTCTACGTGAGGGGAGACGTACCCTGCTGACCCAGGAACGAACTAAGCTGAGAGAAACCAACTGGAAATGCAATCCTGATGCTATACCAGAACAGATAAAATCTCAGTATAGAAGCTGGATCCTGCACCATTGGAAGCCGCGATTTGAATTGCCTGCTGCCGATACTGTGTCCCAATCCGCACAGCAGGGAGAGAGATGCGTGAAAGTTCTGAGAGCTAGAATCGGCGAACCAAATGGCATTGAAAGCAGGTCTGGCAGGGAGCTCTGCATCGACCTGCAGTGAGTGAGAGCAATGGGGATCCTTTCATAGACTGGGAGGCTCCAACAGAGGACATTCTGGGACGAGCAGACTAGCTGGAACAGGGCCCTGCAGTGACTTTAGTCGCATATCCCCCTCTCAAGCGGGAGTGGTGGGGAGCGCTTGGCCTGGTGACTCCGCTGACTAAGATCCAGTAGGCTAGCCCAAATCAGGTCCCTGTGCCCGGCGGTGCACCCTAGCAGTGAAGCATTCAGGTTGACCTGGAGGGGCGGGCCCAGCAGAGGCTGCCCAGGTCTGTGTCTCCCTAGTACACTGCAGTGGGCGGGAACACCTAGCCGGTGGATTCAAACAAACTGTAACAGACAAAGAGAAAAAAAAAAAAAAAATTAGGCCTCCTACATATGCTTGTATGGAAGGAACAAAAAGTATGGGAAAAGGGAGCAACAAGAAAGGGTCCTCAGTCCCCAATCCTGAGAACACTGATCCAGGAAAGGTAAATGCAAAAGAGAATGAAGACAGAAAACATGCAATATCAGACACAGCACCTATATACATAAAGCGGTATCTCCGGAGCCTCATAGATGAGTTCAAATATGAAGTATTTAATGAAATAAGGCAAGAAATATGTAGAATAGTTAGAGAAATGCTAAGTACCGCCCAAGAAAAAACAGATGGTGGAATGGAAGAACAGAAAAAAAGGGGAGAATTGTTTGATGGAGAAAATAGAGAAAACATAGAATATGTGAAGCAGGTTCAAAGAGATTACCAGGAAACTAAAAAACTCTATTGAAAGCTGGCATAACAGCTTGAAAGAAACTAAGGATAGATTATCAGAACTGGAGGACAGGTTTGTAAGGTGGGAGCATGAAATGAAAAACTTCTTTAAAATAACAAGAAACCAAACAGCAATAATACAAAAACTAGAAGATGATAAGAGAATCTATAATTTAAGAATTAAGAAGATAAGAGAAGAAGTGGGGACACAAGCAAATGGACTACAAAAGCTATTCACAGAAATAATCCAAGAGAATTTCCCTAATTTGGCAAAAGGTAAAGATACTCAGATATATGAGACATACAGGACTCCAGCCACCTACAACTCCAACAGAGCTACACCCAGGCATATAATAATCAAAATACCAGAAATCCAATATAAGAACAGAATATTAAAAGCCATCAGAGACAAGAAACAGATCACTTACAAGGGAACACCCATCAGAATTACAGCAGATTTCTCGGCACAAACCATCAAATCACGAAGAGCGTGGGGGGAAATAATTCAAGCTTTGAAAGATAATAACCTCCAGCCAAGATTGATATATCCTGCACAACTGTCCCTAGAAATTGATGGAAAAACAAGATGCTTCCAGGATAAAAAGGAACTAGGGGAATTTGCAACCACCAATTCAACTCTACAGAGATTACTGCAGGATATTCTAAAAATGAAAAATACCAAGATTCCAGAAACAGTGGCAGAGCAGCCACAATGAATGGAGCAGAAAGTGAAATGAAGAGGACAAACTGACAACTAATGACAGAAAAAGAGCTCAACAGAAATGAAGCCGAGAAGGTTGGATGGTAGAAACAGCCATTTTGGAAAAACAAGACATCATAATAGGTAGTGCTGATTTAATATCCTCTTGTTTTGAAGTCCCATCAAGCTTTTGTTCTTCTGTCTCCATCGGTTTTAACCTGTTGTATCTTATTGGATTTTATTATATGTGATAACATAAACAAAAACTTTTATAGACAAGGAGATTATACAGAAACCATTGTTCATTTTCTGTTAGTTGATTCTAAATACCCAGTAATACTATCATTCTCTTGAACGATTTTACATTTTCTTGATATGTTTGATGCTACAGTATACGAAGTTATACCCAAAGATTTTAAGGGAAGAGACACTATGGTAACTACTATTATGTCAAGATTATCTTGTGGTGAAACACTATTTTGCTTAAATGGCTATGTTTTGACCTGTGCTGTTTTATTGTTATGCCCTCTTTTATCTCAATCTCCTTTTTATTATTTACTTTTTCATTTTTATCCTTTTAATTAAGGGAAAAATAAAAATAGCAGGATATATTATAGTAACCCACTTTGATTTCCTATTAACTTGATTTGAAACCCTGTATTGCTCTCACCATCTTGTTTTGACTGATTTTCCTCTATTCTGTAATGCTTGATAGTACCAAGTTTGAAAGTATAGGCAACAACTATGAAGACAATAGATTCATTGTGACGCCCATTCTAGTTGACTATTATATTCTTTTGAAGTCCTCTAATGTCTCCAATGTTTTGGTTTTATTGGTCTTATTCTTTACTGTTTTGTTCAATTTTATTATAACTGATGATATAGGCAATTCTTTTTAAGATAACAAGAAGCATTATGGTAACCATTGTTGATCACCTTGTATTTTGTTTTTATATTATGTCCATCCTTTTGATTTGACTGACTCTGTCCTGGTATGTCACATTTGGTTTTACTTTCTTCAAAAAAAAAGTAATAAGAACTGTGGGAGCAATAAAACCCAAAATGTGTAATTGCCATTGTACAAAAGAAAGGCAAAGAAAGTTCTCTAAAAGATATAACTGCATATATATTTAAGTCTATAAGATAGATAACCATATTACTGAGTTTTGTTGGATCATTGAACAAAATTGTTTTCAGTCTCACTGTTTGAAAGTCCCCTCTATATGCTTTAATTTTGTAACTTCAACAACTATTTCTAAGGTGACAATATGTAATTAACTAGTGATTTCCTTATGTTTATTTTTTCTGAAATTCTGTATAACTTGTACCCTTTTTCTGTTTTTTTTCTTTTTCCTCCTTAAATAAAATTTTAAAAAAAGAAAAAAAAGAAAAACTTATGTTTATGACACTTAACCATACAGCTGCACACAGCTGGAGGGTTTTTTATTCTTGTTGCTGCATATTTTATTGCCTGAATATGCTACAATTTACCTATTGATGGACATTTTGATAGTTTCTGTTTTTGTTATTATTAATATAGCTACCATGAATAATTTTGTTCATATGTTATGGTGAATATATATATATATATATATATATATATATATATATATATAAATTCTGCTGGATACCTGACAGAAAAATTACTATGATTGGTTTTTGCAATTATCACTGAACAGTATTCCAAAGTGTGTCAATTTGCCCTTGCATGAGCAGTGTGTAAGAGTTCTAGCAAGCTTTACATCTTCATCAACATTTGATATTTTCTACTTTTTTTAACTGCAGTCATTCTAGTGGGAGGCACTGCATACTTTTCACAGCTTCCATGATACTATTCTATTATCTAAAATTAAAGGAATTTAGTAAATTGTAATATATCCCTACAATGAAACATTATGGTTTCAAAATTACAAAGTATGATATCAATGATGCAAAATAATGCCTAGAAAACACTAAAAGGAAAATGAGTTGACTCTGTCATATGAATTAGTTGCAGAATTTGCAACCTCATGCTCCTTAAATAAAGCTGTTCTTCTGATACCTGTGATTCACTTAGAAACACAGAACATGCTCAGGGAACTGGTGCCTGGACAGGAATCCTGCTTCCATGGCTTGGGTACAGTGTGACCTTGGACTCTTCCCAGCTTCTCTAATCTGTAACTTAGAGACTTTTATCATTTAAGGAATGGTTAAAAGCCAAGATGATAGACGTAAACTATTCAAATTCAAAGCCTGCTTGGTAAGTTCATGTGTCTGTCAGGGTTTCATCCTCATCTGTAAGTTGGGAAAATGAAAGTTTCAACTCGTTATTAGATCACACACACAAAAAAAAGGATATGCGTATGTATAGCACTCAGGGCTGGGTCTGACACGTAAGTACAACTTGCTACTATCATTGTTCTGCTGCTACAGCTACTGCCATAACACCACCTCCACACTTCATATGTAATAGAAGAGGAAGGGAAGGGATAAATAAGAAGCCACTGACATCATCAGGCTCCAAGAAGACACCTGTACCTCAATTCATCTGAGGTTATTCTCTAAGTGTGACAGCTAACCACCTGACACCAAGAAGCCAGACAGCTAGTAGGGGCCTCAAGCCCTCATATGGAGCCCTCACATGGACTTCCCAACAGCCATGACGGTCCTTTCTTTGCAAGGCAAAGGGAGAGCCAAGCTCCACTCTGCAAATCCCAAGTACAATGCACAAATATGGAGAAATCTGAGCACCACTTTATGAATGAAAATTGATTGAAATGACTTTGCAACATTCTCCTAACTAATTTTCCCACATACGAGATGAAGTTTTCAAAACAGAAGTATTATCATGCCCACCCTTCGACCCTTGCTTGCCTCAGCTTGCCCTTGACTTGTTAGTCTGTGCATTCCAGACACACAATCTTCCTCAGGTTCCTCACACTGACCATGCTGCTCCCTCCCAAATTGTTCTGGCAAATACTTCTGTGCCTCCAGTGCCTTGCCTTTCCTTCTTTGCCTAAGGAATGTGTGTTCCTCTTCTGGATCTTAATTTAATCAGCTCTCTGTAACTCGGTCTTAGGACAGGGTACCCTTGTCCTTCACTTACCTCCTCACTGTTTTACTTTACATTCTTTCTGTGACAACTGGTTTAACAACTGGTTCCCCTACTAAAATGAAGATCTCATGAAGACAGTGACCATGTCTGTGTACTCACAGTCACATCAATAAAGAGCACACCACCTAGTGCAAATGAGAGGCTGAACCACCATCATTTGTTTGTCTGAATGGGTGAAATGAAGTAACACAGGTCAAAGCAATAGGGAACAGACAGGACTTCAAAATCTGAAAACTATCAGCACAGTTAAGAATCACACAAAATTATTTCAGCATCAAGACTGAATCAGCACAAAATGGTATTTCCAAAAGAAGGGAGGAAAGCATCAGAAACCCTGCAATCTTATGCAAGTTTGATACCAATATTAAAATCAAGACTTTTTCTATCTGGCTCCCAAATCAGGCATGCTATTACATCTGATTCTACTTTCATGCATCTTCTGAGTAGGCTGCATTGGTTCACCTGTTTTGAAAGACATTCGTTTTGACTCTCTGGCTCTACTCTTATCTCCCAGAAGGTGTTGCAAGGTTACCTTGGAGATTGCTTTCATCATTGATCTATACAGAAAGCAGGGATTGCAAAAAGAGAAACCATTCTAAACAGATACAACAGTTAGGTAAGCGATGATGTAGGGAAGGTAGGGCATGGGTGTGGGAATATATCAGTTTGTTAATGAAGTGTTAAGTCTACAGGGAGTAGTTATTATGTGTCTGGATGAATATATGCTTAGCAACTTTTTTTTCCCTTTTAGTATTGGTAGAAAGGTAGCACACAGAAATTTTTAAACCAGTGGCTTATTTGATAAATTTGGTAACTGTATTTAAACAAAACGTAAGGTAGACTACAGTAGACAGGAGTCACAAAGAGTAATAAATCATAGGTCATTATCTGCATAAATTAGGGGTAAAAGTTTATGTTACCATAGTCACTCCTGCTTTCAGAAGAAAAGGGAGGGGTAAAATATACAAGGTTTTGAAGAAAGTCAGTTTATCATTATCTATGTTATCATAGCTACATACACGGAAAGCTGATACTTAATATAGGCTGGGAAGACTGGAGAAGTATGATTTCAGCTGCCAGCCTCTCTGGTCTTGCGTAGGTGCCAGGGAAGAAAGTTCCCGGATCACGGCCAGTATCAGGTAAGGTTTTATATAAAAGGTCAGATTCAGGATGCGGCAGCCCATGGAGGAGTGATCATCTATAATGTGTGAAAGCTGAGTAGGAATACAGATCCCACTCAGGAAAAGATAGCCACAGACAAAAATCATGATACTCGAGTGAAATAAAGAAAACCAAAGATGGAAAATGGGCTACACTATCAGCACCATTCAGGTACATAATACCAGGAGCTGGGCAAATGGAGCCCAGGCGATTTCTATGGTCATATGGAACCACGCTGGTTCCATAACTGCTGTGTCTCAGTGAGGTTAATACTATGCAAAATAAACTATATATGTTAAATTGAGGTTAAACGTTTTTCAATCATGCTCTAATTTGGGATTTACTTCTTCTTTTATATTTTAGCACACCAAAACAATTACTATTTTAAAAGCCCACACAATTTATTTAAAAAAAAAAAAAAAAAAAGAGAACAGAGAGACAGTATGGTGTAACTAAAGAATAAAGATGTTGGAGCCAGCTCCAACTCTACCATGTATTATATGTATGACCTTGGGTAGTCACTGCCTTCTTTTTGCCTCTATTTTCTTATGTAACATGTTAAAAGAAATAGTACTGTATCTACCTCAAAATTCAACGAATAAATGCATTAATAATTACAAAAGTGCAAAGACCTAGACATGTTTTTAAAGTAAATATTATTTAAATATCTTTGGGTCTATTCTATCTAATTATGTTTCAAGTATATTTCTGAAATTTAATCATGTCATAAAATGCACTTGGCGGTTTGAGGCAAGAGGATTACAGGTTTGGGGCCAGCATGGGCTACAAATACAAAGCAAGTTCAGGGCTGACCCGGACTACATAGAGACACTGTGTTTCAAAACAGAAAAGGGGGGAAAAAAAGAGAAAAAGAGAGAGAAAATATTAGGCCAGAGAAAATGGTGTTCCCTGTATTTCCAGATTCTAGATGGGCTGAAGTAGAAGGACCTCAAGTTCAAGACTAGAGTACATAGGAAATATCTTTCTTTTGAGAGGCCCTGTCTCAAAAGAAAAAGTGGGGGAGTTGTCTTATCTTTTACTACTTTGATTCAACTTAAGAAATGAACTTAAAAATCAAAAGTAGCTGTCATTTATTGAATTGTTGCAAGTACTATGAACTTTATGTTACCCCTATAACAATACTGTGAGTTAGATATTATTATTATTCTCATTTGACACAGTAGGTGAAGAAGCTGAGGTTCAGAAAGGTTAAGCAAGTTGTCCAAAGACACAAGGTTAAAGCCAGAATTCTAAACTCAGTTCTTTCTGATTCCAAAGTCTGTTTTCTTAATTAAGAAGTGTCATGTTTACCAAAACAGCTTTGTTATCTACTAAGTGCAATCATCTTTTAAAAATTATTATCGTTTAATCTGAGACAGTCTCATTAACTCATCACTACTTAGTATAAGCAAATAAAACAAAAAAGTTAGATCATAAAAAAATAGGTTTTTAGACGGCAAACAGATATTAGATCACCAGGAAATACAGTTAATAAAACACATCAGAAGCACTTCCCAAATCAAACCAACTAACTGAAGTATCTTAGTATTAACTGGCAAGTATTACAAAGCTAAAACCTTTGATTACCATAATTTCAGAATATTATTTCTCTTAATCTTGATCTTGATTTGCATAGGCTGGGTCCATGTGGTTTCTCTTAATATCGAAATAAAGGGGAACTACCTTATCCAAATTAATTATTATTTTAGTTGCTATCAATATATAGCAAAAAAGTGGACTTATAATGTGTAATTTCTGAATCATATTTTTATTACTAAATAGGTCATTCGTAAAAATAAAATGTGAATGTAATTATAATGAGAAGGGTAAATGCAATATACTCTAGGCCTCTTTTAAAGTAAGGGACAGTAGAGGTACAACTCAAACAACAGGCCCCAAATACATGATAATCCCTGGAATTCTGGTGAGCAGAAGGTCAGGTTTATACCAGATTACCCGGGCTTGCTGCTTGTTGAACCAAAGCGTCTTAGCCCATGCTATGTCCCCTTGTAGGCTGGAGCCTTTTGCTCAATGTTATATTCCCTAAGGTTCCAAGGCACTGCCTTCAAGATTTGCTCTTCAATAAATCTTTGCTGCCGAAGTGAAAGCTGTTCGAGCTTTTACACATATGTCTTAAAAACTGAAACCAAATTTAAATTACAGAATTGCAACAATACTAATTGATTTTTCCTTCTGCAAATCCCCTTCATAATCACTAGCTATGTAACTATGTTGTTTTACAGAATAAAAGATATTACAGACTGCTAAGTATGGAAGTTCCTCAAAATGGATCCTACAGGAAATCTGCCAGGTCTTGGTTACAGCACAGGCTGAACAGGTATTACAGGTTTCTAGTTTAACTCTTTTGTATACCTCAGACTTCAACATTGGATATCAAAGATTTCATCACTGCTAATTCGAAACTGATTAAGGATGCAACTGGATTAAACAAACACTTCCAAAGGCTGAACAAATGGGGTCTAGAATGCTAATATAAAAAATTTCTATTCAGATAGGACTCTTTGGATCTAAGATTAACTACATAAATAAAAAGGAAACTAGAAAAAGAGGTGAAGTATTCATAACCAATGTTTCTAAATAAAACAGCCTGTGTCCAGCTGACCTTCAGTTCTTCACCAGGTACAATGATGCATGTACAGACAGGACAAAAAGAGCATTTCCCTCAGAAAGCCATTTACAGGATACAAAAAAGAACACCAAACATCACATGGTACTTTTCAGAAGACATGAAACATCTACTATCTCCATCCCATTAAGAGAAGAAATCTGCAGGAACTTCCAGACTGTAACATATAAAAGTGCACCAGACTATAATACATAAAGTGCATCTGCACAATCTAAATAGCTGTGTCCAAAACTGACATCTCAATGAGGGACCAGCAGGGGTGTGTCTCTGTTGGTGCTATTCTATTTTGTTTTGTTCTCTTTGGGGGAGGGGAGGCAGAGGTTAATTGAGCTGCAGCTTCTGAGGAAAAAATAAAAAAAGAGACATGAGAGTCCAGCTGGGAAGGAGAACACACCATGTGTAGTTTGGGATCAATTTACAGTGACACGTGCAAGAAGAAATAGAAAACATTCGAAGTGGAGGAAGGAAGACCCCTAGAGATAAAAACATGGGAGGTTTCAATCACAGCTATAGACAGAAATGAGATCTCAAGATGAGTCAGGGAGAAGAATATCTATCTAGATATCCATCTAGATATCTCATGAAGACTAAACACATCTTACCAGGGGTGATGCCACAGGCCTATAATTCCAGCACTCAGGAGGATTGTGAGTTCAAAGCCACTGGGGGCTATACAGTGAAACCCTGTCTCAAAACACAGTCAATAAAATATAAATTTCAAAAAGGATTGGGCATGCAGCTCAGTGGTAGAGTGCTTGCCTGGCCATGCACGAGGCACTGGGTTCAATCCCCAGTAGTGAGGAGAGGCGAGGAGAGGAGAGGAGAAGACAGGAGAGGGTAGCGGGGTGAGGAGAGGGGAGGGAGGAGGGGAGGGGAGAGGGAAGGGGAGGGGAGGGGAGGGGGAGGAAAAGGTTATTTTATAAAGTTGAAGACCCACATGAGCTTTGGAAACTGGAGATGTGTAATGGCTTCAAATGACAGTGATTTTATTTTTCTCAAGGACAGAAGAAAAGCGGAGATGGAATAGGATGCCCACACTGAGAACTCAATAAAAAGCACAGACACGATTTCTACCAGGTACCAAAGGACACTGCAGCGAACCAGCCTTGGACAAAGAAGTAATGTCTGAAGAAATGCAAAACCTCCAACCTCAGATGAAATAGATTCAACAGCCTTGTTCTACAGCAGGAAGAACAAAAAGTGAACAAAAATTTTGGTTCTGGGTTAACAGGCCATGATACTGATTTCTTATCTGCTTGGGAAAAAAATGCAAGAGGTGCCTTAATACCTACTTTGGCCAAATTATTCTGAACATTAAATGAACACAACACATGAAAAAAAGAACCAGCACTGTGTCTGACAAGCACCAAAGATTAGTTTTTTTTCTGGGCATAAAATGAGGACACTAGGCCAGGCTAGAGTCCTATTCCGTCACAAAACTCTGACTTAGACTGAGTTGTGGTGACCATACCTTCCACTCTTTGAATTTTGTGAGTTACTTTACACTACCATCTACACTAGTAATTATACCACCTATATTTTACTCTTGTTATCTCATTAGTCCTGACAACAACCTCTGTGCTGGCGAGGATAGTTAACTGCCTGAGAGTCTTAGGAAACCGAGAGGCTGAGAGATTAAATGACTTGCTCCAGATCAATTTAATCTTCATTAGGTTATCTCTGCTCAGTAAAGTTGCCAAGTTCATTAAAAAGAAAGATGACTTGTCCCATGTAATAGAACACAGGTGCACTTTACTTTTTTTTTAATGCTAATTTCTCATGTCATCTGTTTTGTGGTTTCATTTGTCAATCACTTCACATGTCTTTTTAAAGGGCACATGGTAAACTCTACTCATGAGTAAGAGAATATCTAAAATTAAATAATGTCAATGTATTTAAATTAGTGCTGAGCATAAAAACCACCCAACAAGTGTTTGATATGAAAAACAACTTCTGACTGAATGCTAGATTTTCTTAATAATTTAGTAAGTATGACAGTCTGCCTATATTCTATGCTTATATGTATTATTTATTTCATTTGGGAAGCAGTGTTATTTAAAAGTTCCTTCTATTGTCTACTGAAATAAAACATTTTAAGATAAAGGTATACCATAACATATCAAAATAATAGCTATGGAATCGGGAAAATCAAGGAGTTGAGGGATGGAATTTAGAAATTTCATTAAATTGTGTGGGAAAGAAATTAGTCTTCATCCTTATTAATTTCTAGCTGCAACTTAGCATTTCTTTCTGTTATAAAGTGGGCAAGAAACCACTGCTATATCAGCAGCAAATTTTTATCACCAAAAGAATCCAAACATTTATATCATATTACAGTTGCTGAGATATCTTGAAATACAGTAGTCTTTCCTTATTTTCAGTTTGGATTTCAGTTACCTGTGGCTAACCTCAGCTTGAAAATAGTACATGAAAACCTCTATAGAAATAAGTAATTCATTAATTTTACATTGTATGCTGTTCTAAGCAGCATGATAAAACCTCAAGTCATTGTGTCCACCCTGCTCTCAAACTGTCCCTTTGTCTTGTGTATCTAGGCGACACCGTCACCAAGTAGTTTCTGGTTAACAGATCAGCAGTCACAGCATCACAATGTCTGTGTTTAAAAATCCTTTATTTTACTTACTAATGGCCCCAAAGTGCAAAAATAGTGATGCTGGCACATGGATATGCCAAAGTCTGGAAAGTGCTTCTTTAATTAAAAGGTAAAAGTTCTTGATTTAATAAGAAAAAATATAGTATGCTGATGTTGCAAGTATCTCTAAGAAAATATTTTGAGAGACATTTATATCACTTATAGTATATTGCTATAATTGTTCTATTTTATTATTACTTGTTAATCTCTCATGTGGCAAAATGGTAGCACATACCTTGAGCTCAGTGTAGCCTGCATTTTCAGAGAATGTCCTCTGGGTGAAGGGGACAGCTGTGTCACTTACACTCATCACCACCTCAAAAATCACTGCAGTTGTTCGCTTTGCTTCTAGATTTTAATGTCCAAAAAAATCACTACAACAAATTTGTTTAAATATTTTGTTTCAATATTACAAATGTTTAAATATCTTCAGGTCTGTTTAATATAATTGGTCTCCTCTGCAATCACCTGCATGTGTGCACATGTGTGTGTGCCTAAAGGAGTAAGAACTTCCATTCAGAGGGTGGCAGTGACCCTGTAAAAGTTTTTCCTCTCATTATGGTCCCTCAAGAGATTTTCTCTTTTTTCTTTTGTCTACCTTAGTTTGCTATACCTAGGTCCTTTGTTATGCTGCCTGCCTTCAAATGCAAGAAACCCAAAAGACAAAGGCAGAGAAGAGTAAAACCTAAACCTAGGCCCTATTTTAACTCTTTTCTTCCCTCAAACATGAGCATCCTTATTATTACAGTAAGTCCTCAACTTGTGAACATTTGAGTTGCAAATTTTCACAGACATGAACAGTCCTTGCATTACGAACACTGATGGATGCGAACAAATCACAGAAGTAGCTCATGTGTCTGCCAGACAGCGTTCCAGCTGTGTTGCTGTGTGCTTTGCACACTACAATAGTGTACGGTAATACAGGGCTCAATCAGAGCCCAGGATGGATGAAAGAGAAAAAGCAGTGATGAGGAGACTGGTAGGAAGTACAAAGCAATAATCATGGATACAAAAGCAAAAATAATTGAGATTGGATCAAGGCGAAAAGATGGTGGATACTGCTCGCTCACTCTTATAAGATTTATCATTCAACCACTGGTACAACTCTGTGGAACAAGGACACTATCATGAAACATGTCTGTTCGTGTGACTGGTTTTTTTTATGCTTTACGTTATGTATTTGTGTGTTTATATACTCACTTTGTCTCACTTATGAATGAATCCAATTTATGAATGGTCTCCTGGAATGGAACTGGATCCCAAGTCAGGGACTTACTATACTTGTGTCTGTAACCTTCTTCCTTTAAACTAACCAATGCATTTTGTTGTTCTGAAGTTCTCTTCCCCTTATCAGTGCCAAATGTATAGGACGGTCAGGTGCTGCTGTGTAGTACAATCAGCAGCTCTTTAATGCTGAAAGAACCATCATCTCTATGGTTGTACAACCAATATAACACAAAACAGCAAAACCAGGAGGAAAGGGCAGGGTAGGGAGAGGATGGAGTAGGGCAGGAGGGTGGAATGCAGAAAGAGCCTGCTTTCCATCTTCCTCACACATGCACAGAAACTACCATGTGGGCAATGAAACTACTTTTGAGAAGGCAAAAGGAAGTAGGAAGACTGTATCCTGTGAGAAATGAGCTGACAAGCGGTGCTCTGGCAGAAACAAAAAATGGGTGCAGACTGGGTCTTGACAGAAGAGCTGGCCAAGGAACTGGTTCAAGACTTTAAAAGTGTTAAACAGGAAGTCCAGATTTACTCATGTTTGTTTATATAACTGCTCTCCCATCCACATCCACACAGGAGAATCAAATGTTGTCAGAAGTCCACTGCAAGCCTAGGAGTTGTTTCTTAGAGCCACAGAAGTCTCGCTCGCATTTGCTTAAAGAGCAAGGGCTCCCTGGCATGGCGAACCACGTCAGTAATCCCAGCCTCTTGGGAGACGAAAGCAGCAAGATGACAAGTATATTACAAGACTTACACAAGAAAAACTACATTTTTTTTTTTTTGCTTCTGATTTAGAATAAAATGAGCTCTAAATAATGCAACTTTATTTCTCAATTAATGTTCAAATAAGAATATATGAAACCCAAGTTAAGGTACAGTGGCATCCTATAACTACTTTAAATAATCTATCACATTTGAACAATTGAACAAAGTGAAAAGGTCCACATTTACAAGCAACTGATTTTCAACAAACGTCCCAAAAATACATCTGGGAAAAGGTGTCTTTTCAACAAAACATGCTGTTAAAATTAGATCTCTACACGTGTGAATTAAATCTCAACATAGCAGTCTTTTCTAAAAAGTAAAAAATTCTGCTGTGCTTTTCCAAAGTAGTTATGAACGTTGACCTTTCTATACTCACTAACTCATAATTTAAACAATTATCCTCTATACTTCCTATATAATTTCCTACTTCCTCTACGATTTCAAGTATTACTTCTTCACTACCTTGGTAATACAGTGAAATTTCTATTCAAATTTGTTTGAAAAAATTCACATTCTTTGAAGAGGAAATGTTTAAATGCTTTGTTCTTCAGTTGAATTCACAAAATAATCTGACAAGGAATATACTACTATTGTAAATACAGAGGTTCCCTTTTAATTTTGGTTTCTTTAAATTTTAAGGCATTATAAGAAAAACACATGATTGTCTTCACAGAAATGGGCTGAAAGGGTACATTACAGTCAGCAATTTCATGATTAAGGAAAGAAAATCTATTTTATCTGTTTTCTCTACTTGACTTACTAAAAAACATTTTCCCCAAAAATGTTCAACAAAAAGTTCATATAGCAGAAGAGTTAAAATTAAATACCAACCCATTTGTTATAAAGAATAATGTAACTGAGGATGGAGTTTGTGCAGGAACACTTGCCTTATGTGTGCAAGGTCTTAGGTTCAGTCCCAGCACCATGTGCCCCTCCAAAAAAAATCAGTAATAAGTAATCACTCATCATCTTAAAACCACCCACAAAATGCTGGCTGGGGGAAAATCTCCAAGCTTACCTGGTATATCAGAAATATTTGTTAAATAAAGGAATTTATTTTGAAAACTTTCCAGTAAAAATAAAAAGATGAATAGCAATTTGCTTGTCTCACTCAAAATACTTAAAGAAAGGTTTAGTAATATAGACAACTTACTAAAATAAGACACAGCATAATAATTCCATTTCCAATTAAAGCACACTTGTATTTCACAATAAATTCATATCAAATGCTTTCTTAAGCAACAAAGGTAATCATGAACTTCTTTTCCAAGTTATTGTATCATACTACAATTCTTTTTCAGAAGTTAAGATTCCTATTTCATATTAGAAAACTTTTCTTTTGCTATCTAAATGGGTGTATACAGATCCATATCATAGGAGTACAAGCTGAAAGGTTCTTGCCCTAGGACAGATTTCTGTACACTACGGTGACTGTCTAACATGGCAAAAGGCCAAAGCAAAAACATTTATCCTCATGACCACTTCCTTCTTCTTCTTCTTCCCCTTCAGCTTTGATTATAATTGCCTTTCCCATGTGCATGAAGAGTTCCTCGCATGGCATTGATGCCCGCGCACCACTTCCGATCAGAGGTCATATAACACCCTGCTGCCTCTACATCGGTCAAAGGAAAAAGCCAACCCCCCTAGCAGGTTGTGGGCTCCTGTCAGCATCCTCAATAAAGGCCACCTTCTCTTTCCTTTTGCTTCTCTATTGCGCCAGAAAACCCTAACATAAGCTACCACTGACCCTAGAAAAAAAATCTCAATTTTGTTTTAGAGAGAGACATTTAATTTGAATTATATTTCTTTCCTTTGAACATTTTCAGTTCTGTCTTGAATTTGGCACTTTCATATACTTAATCTTGATTAATATCCAAAAGCACATATGCTATAGTAAATCCTCTTCTTTCAATGCCAAAAACTTTTGCTTCTAGCAATGTGTTAACTGGTATATTCTCCACACATCAGTATCTATTAACACTAGAAATGCGAGAACAGCTAATACATTCTAGAAAGTGATGGCTGCATTTGAAACTACACGGGTTGATTTTTTTACTTTAAACAAGGTTCTACCTGTTAAATCTATAACATCTAGAATTTATAACAGTGGTCCTGACCCTGGCTGGCTCCACACTGGAATCCAACGGGCTGAGCTTCATGGTGGAATGCAGAAGAGGGACTGTGGACACGAGGGCAGGGACACAGAGAGGAATGCCCACCATTCGTGGTGAGGGTTAACTCTGGAACCTGCCAGCTTTTATTGCACACAAGGTTTTCTGAGAAATAAAGGAACAAAATTTCAGCCTTTGGAAAGAGATACACATATTTCTGCTAATTCAAATGCAAGTTTTATTGATGTGTTTTTCCAGTGAAAAACATTCATTGATGTGTTTTTTCAGTGAAAAACCAAGGTTAGGTTAAACATGCTAGGGTCAGGGTAGGATGGAATTGGACACTTGGGAACACAGGTGAGCACATTTGACAAATCTCATCTCTCTTCTCAAAATAATTGGAGTGAAATTAAGAAAAATATTCCATAAAATATGTAAATTTTTCTATTCCCTTTTTCCAAACAATTCTCCTTTCTTCAGGTAATGGTCTGAACATTTCTAACTTAAAATATCAGGATTTTCCTAAAAAGAGAAAGAAGCTTCTAATAGCTTAAATAAATTAATCAAAACCAAAAAAAACTGTGCTGGATACTTCAATGAAAGACTACTGTTTCTGTAATAAATCCTTTGATTTAAGTAAAAACAAAATCTTACTGCTGTTTTATAAATCTGAGCTGTTCTTATTAAATACTATTGTTATTATTAATGACTTTATTTCATTATTGGCCCATAAAATTCTTGAGTAGGAAAAAACTGCTTAGTAAAACACTAAGACTGTAGCATTTGTGCTACCCAAATCAGTTTAATTTTAAATACCTCACCATAAAGTCGAAGAGCTAAAATTTCTATGCATCAGCCCAGTAATGCTTAGTTTCATTATACATAAGCAACTTATCAGTGTTGAGAAAAACGGGGCTGAAAAGGAGCACCCCACCTTGTACTTCCTCAATTTCTCATCAGCACATATAGTTTCTCTAATAATTGCTGAAAAGATCTAAAAGAATATTTAATAGAAAATGCTTCAGATATGTTAAGTGAACAAAGCTATGATTGTACAGTATACACAATAACCCCCGTTCTCTTGGCATTTAAGCATTCATAAGGAAAACAAAACAAAAAGAAAATACATGTCCATAGGCTGTGCACACAGTGGAAGAGTATAGATATTCTGTGATGTGATATCCTACACACACACACACACACACTTTGGTTCAGATTGAACTCTGAATGCTCCACCAATGAACCACAATCCCAGTCCCTTTTACTTTTTATTTTGATACACTTGATCAAGCTAAGTTGCATGGACTGGGCTCAAACCTGCCATCCTCCTGGCTCCACCTCCCCAAGTAGAGACAAGAAAACCTACATTTTCCAATAGTCATATATATGTCTTTTATATTCAAAAAAGAAAAACAATTCAGTTAGTTATTATATATGGCTGCAAAATAACAGCAAAAGTTAAACTTCTTGGTTTTAAAAAAGTAATTTATGATTCAAACTATAAAATTCTGTAAGATAAAATGATGATGAGGAGGAGGAAGAAGAGGAGGGGAAGGGGGAGAATGATGACTGATAGCAAAAACAGGAATGCAGACAAGGTGACTGTCAAGTCTCCAACAATCTAGAACTTAAAAAAAAAGAGAGAGAACAGAGTCCTATGTCTTATAATAAATGCAGGAAAAGTAAAATTGCATTACAAAATATGACAATATATACTGAAAAACTAGTTTAATAATGTGAAAATAAGTAACAACATATTAACTAAAAGGAGAACTATGTATAGGTCCATCAGTAAACGAGAGATGCTACTTATGCACTGCCATAAAATCAGCTTAATTTCACCATAGCAGATTGCCATCTAAATGGCTCGGTCAGCTTACTGTAATAAATAGCTTACTACTGCAATTACATATAAAGCATTATGTTAGAACATATACTCCTGAAGATACATAAAAATAAGCTCAAGCCTCAAAGCAAACTCTTAAGGCTTGCCTATACTTAACAGTTAAGAAGTGTTTCAGGCTGGGTGTGGTGGCACACACCTGTAATCTCTCTAAGACTGAAGCAGTAGGATCACGGGTTCAACTCTAGCCTGGGCAATTTAGGGAGACTTAGTCTCAGTGCACAGTGCACAGGCTCTGGGTTCAATTCCCAGTACCACAAAACAACTAACCAAACAACCAAACATACACAAAATTTAAAACAAAATCAAAAGAAACAAAAGTGCCTCAAAATCTACTCAAATTTATAGTCTTCATTTATTCATCCTAGACTTTATTTGAACTAAAACTTGCATACATATGCAAATTTGTACAGCATAAATGGCTTTAAGAGAATACTAACATTTAATTAGTCCAGAAAAGACATTTTAAAAGTAAAGCTTAGAAGGTACATTATTCATCATTGAAAATATTAATACTCTGAAATTAAGAATTGTGCAGAATTTTAAGTGAAACATTTAATAATGGAGTAACTTGCTGAGGTTAAAATTATGACTATAGATGTGCTTGAAAAAATATTACTGAATGGCATGCACATTATGGCCACATGGCTATCTACTTCAAAAAAAAAATTTTAATGTAACAGTACTTCATTGCTTTAAATGTTTTAAAGGGCAACAAAATAGAGATAAGCCAAATCTTAAAAAACTAAATGATCATAGCTTACTTCATTTGAGATTCACATTTTAAGTAAAGGAATGAAAAATAAAACTGAATGCACAGCTGTTTGCTTCTAGGAATACAAACAGGAAGAAATAAACAGAGGGAGGCTGATGTCTGTGAGACTGGGCTAACTACTACATTCCCAGCTGTGTTTTAATTTGTCTTCCTAAACAGTAACAAATCTTTTTTTTTTTCTTTTTTTAATAATAGTCAAAGGCCAAAAATCTCCATTTGTGCCCAGCAAAAGTTAAAGGCACACTAGAAAATATTTGGAATATCACAGTTAGTAATTTGTCTGATCTATGTTCTATGTCGTTAACATCAGTTGAATTATGCAGAAGTTAAAACTGCTCTAATATTAATTCAAGGATGAGAACAGAGATGCCTGATAAATTTACAAGTGACATAAAATGTAAATATATGAAGGATAGGCAATTTACAGTTATATCCAATCTGTTGCAGTAAGAGAAGTCAGTGATAAAGTAAGCAGTGCCAGGCAAGATGGTGCACGCCTGTAATCCCAGCACTTAGGAGGCTGAGGGAGGAAGATAACCAGTCTGGGGTACATAAGAGAGTTCAAGACCAGCCTGTACTACATAGAGAGACCCTGTTTCAAAATTAAACAAGCAAACAAACAAGCAGTATATCCAGATCAGTTGTGCCCCTTTATCGTAACCACAAATAGCCCTGCTCTGGTCCTCCAAAGATGTAAGATTTCTATGACAGCCTAACAAGCACGAGGTCATGAGTTTGGTTCCTGGTAACCACCCCCTCCCCAAATTAACTGCCTGATTTCTACAACAGCGATAGAAATCAGAGAGGCAGGGATATGTAAGGCCAGATGAAGATGAGCTAGTACTAAGCAAGGTGAATGTCTTGCTATAGCTAATTTTAGACACTAGCTCTTGTTCTTCTTTTAATAAAAACCATAAAATAAACACAAGTCCAGGACCTAAACAAATCAAGACAGCATGAAATTTATGAAAGTAGACACTCTTCCTATCAATTTTCAATGCTATCAGCTTTAATATAGATACCTTTACACAGGATACTTGGTTTATGAACACATCAAAACTAATTCTATAAACTTAAATTATGAAAAACATGATCCACTTTTTATAATAAATATTATAGGATACATAAAATGATCCCATGGGTGGGTATCATTTAAATCTTCCATCTCCTCTCTCAATCTGCAGAATGCTGTAGCCTCCTTCACACACAGTCCTACTTTCCATGATTCTAGTTACCCATTGTCTGCTGGGTCTGAAAACTTAAATAGAAAATTCCACACAACAATTCTCAAGCTTAAAACTTTGCCCTGTTCTGAGCATGAGAACTGTCATGCCATTGAGCTCAGCATGTGAATCTTCACTTTGTCCCTCACATATATCCATGTGGTGGCTCCTAGTGTTGGCAAGGAAAAGACTCCCCTCCGATAGGTACCCAAATCTGCATATGCTCAGTTCCTTACACAACCTGCCCACATCCTCCTATATACTGTAAATCATTTCTAGATTCCTTATAAAATCTAACACAGTATAAATACTATGTAAATAATTATACTGTATCATATAGGTACTTGTGACAAGGGGAGGAAAATCTGTTCATGTTTAGGAGACACAGTTTTTCCCAAAATATTTTCAAAACCAAGGATGGCTGAAATCAAGGATACAGAAGAACCAACTATAAGCTCTACTTGCTCAATGGTTACTTGGTTGTCTCAGTTTTCAGGTCATCTGTCATAGTATCACTGTACTTATATTCAAGCAATCTTTGTTTTAATTACTAATGGCCCTAAAGCACAACAGCAGCGATGCTGCCAATTTTGTTACCACACACTGATAAAATTGTTCTATTTTATTGTTATCTCTTAGGTAATTCATATAAGTGTATATACAACATAGGAAAAAACACAGCACATAGGATGTGGTACAACTCTCGGTTTCAGGTATCCACTGAGGGTCTTGGAATGTATCTCAAAGGGCGCTACTATCATCTGATGACAAAGTGCTTAAGCTGTAGATAGAAGTTTTGCTGTTAAGCACAACTACTAAAAGATCTTTTTGAGATACAGACTCATTGCCATCCCATCCCAAACATGAATTCCAGCCCTGCCAGCTGTGTATAAGGGTTAGTCAGCCCTCCAATTTGTAAGATGAAATGTTTACATAGTGATAGCTAAGTAAATGTTCAATAATTGATGAGGTCAGTTTGATGTATAAAATAAATGACATCATGCATATAAAACATCTAGCAGTTGTGTCAAGTATCCAATACACAGAAGCTGTTACACAGATCAAATGAAAAAAAATGAAAGTAGTTTATGATTTAAATAACTTTTCTCAAAGTCTAGAAAACAAAAACACTCATCAATTAGGATGTAAAATATTATTCCTAACACCCAGCATCACACCTTGTGAACAGTATATTTTCCCAAAAGTCAATTATGAAGTTCTAAGAATTTGTAAACCACGCAGATTTCATTTTTGTTTCCTCAGTGCCTGAGAGAGTATCATTATCACAAAATAACATTTTTTTCCTATTCACTTAAGTTTATCTGAATTTTAAAAACTTTTTCTTTATAATTTTAGGCTCAGTGTAGGGTGAGGCTCAGGTTTAATTCTTTACTATATTTCCATATTAGGGGTTCAAATGTTTGAATAAATAAATGCGTATTCTTCATGTTCTATAGAAAAAGAAACCATAAACCTATCAACACTGTAATTTTCTATCAGTTCATATCAAATAAATGTATGAAAACATTACTGCTGGGAAGGTCCTGTTTTTAGGAAAAAGTGACAATTAAAAGCAGTTGCGGAATGAGCTGATCACAACAAGCAACTAAAATCAGTGTTATTGTTTTGGATCCCCGAAATACTTGGTATAAATAGCATACTGAACTTCTGTGTGCTTTCTTACCAAAAGGAAAACATTAAAAATTCCAGTGACATAAAAATCATTTTACCAATAACACAAGGTTTTTATCTGCAATTCCTTACAAACGACTTTCTAATGTAAAAAGCCAACTTTTCACGGTGCTTTTAAAAAAACTTCTGAAATATTTCTTTTTTTTTTTTTTCACAAGAGCTGATTCTAATCCCAAGAGAAGAGGATAAAGCAAGGAAGTGTCCATATACAACCCTTAGCCCCTCAACAATGAAAGAACTAGAAGATTCCCACAGTACTAACTCTGAGGGATAATGCACATAGGAAATGTTAAAAAAAAAAAAAAAAAAAGACTATAAAATGTAATCTACTCCATAATACAAATAATTCTCCCAAAAAGAAAACAAAGTAATATGTAGCATTTATAAAGATGATCTTCTCTGTACACCTGCATCTGCCTTTGTAACAATGAAAGAGACCCTTTAATTCAAAGTAAGCTCTTTAGAAATATTTCTAAAAATAAAGATATTCAATCACAGGTCAGTTATTTTCAGCAAGGTGGTCAAGTGAGTTGTTTCTAGGGTGCTTGTACACTTGCATCTGCAAGCTGTTATCACGCTCAGTGTCTAAGACGCTCCAAAGTCTTCCTCTCCTCCATGTGCAGGATCTATAATGAGGATACACAACCTTGTCAGCAAAGGGAAGGCCTCTGCAATCCTGACTGCAAAGGAGTAGCACATTCAAGGCAAAGACTAAAAATATTTCAGGTCCAAAACTATGACCCGCACCTATGATTTATACTGCTATCTTTTGCATCCAAAAACATTTCACTCAATTCTACAAAGGTCTCAATGAGGTTCTAATATGATATTTGCTGCTAGGCTTACACAAAAATCCACAGACGCTCAAACCATACTAACTGGGTAAACGGCTGATAAGAGACTACAAAATGTTATACCTCCAAGTGAGACCTTTCTTAACAAAAACCAAGGTCTAGGGATTGAGGTAAGGATCTCATTTTCTGTTGTTCCTAAAAGGGGCTCTTTCAGTAAATGAAGCTGGATTCAAGATTCACAAGCATCTAAAACAAATGTTATTTCATATCCAAACAGGTTGACAATTGTCCAAATTTTCCTACCAGGTAAAAGAGCTCGCAAAATACTATACCTATGTTATTTAACACACAGCACGGAACGTCTTCCCAATGATAATGCGCTTTTACATAAGGACTAAGAATTCCTGACACCTTTTAAAGTCTAGCCAATTGGAATGGGGGTGTAGCTCAGTAGTATAACTCCTGCTTAACATGTATGAAGCCCAGAGTTGATTCCCAGAACCACAAGCCAAACAAACATTCAACTGACTAAGTAAATCAAGTAGATACCTGGGAAGAAATGTCACTGGCACCATTGCCATGTGCACAAGTCCATTTCTTTCTTCTTCCTTTTTAACCTAATTGGTTCTCATCCCTTCATCTTCCTCCCTGTGCCTCAAACATGCCAAGGTGAACCCTGAGATCTAGCCCAGTGATACTGCAAAGCAAGAGGTTTCACACTCCTCTGTGGCCCCAACTAATACCAACAGACAGCACTGAGGCACGTGAGCCCCTCAGAGCAGTCTGTTGTTTGTCTGCACCACAAAGAACACACACTCCAAAGACACTCAGTGCGGGTTGGTATCCTCATAAGAGATGATGGTTTATTTTAAATCACAGAAAACCCATATAACTGTGGGACTAATCCACACAAGAGTTCAGTTTTTTGGTCAAAAATATACACTAAACATTTTGTCACCATTGGTGAAAACAAATTTTTAAAAAGTTAGAATACATTTAATTGCAATATTTAGCCATTCACACTACACAAAAGATCAGTAATCTTTCTCACAATTACTTCTTTCCAAAAAAATTGCAAAGGCCTTTTGTAGGGCATTTTCTCTAATAATTTCTTGCTGAATTTATGGTGCATGCTGAAATTTCTTTCTTGTAAGTCAAATACTGAATGAAAATTTATTATCTATTGCTAAGTATTTGGTTCTATACAGTTTATTTATTTATTTATTTAGGTTTTTTTCTTTTTTATTGGTACTGGGGATCAAACTCACAACCACACACTTGCAAGGCAGGCGCTTATGCTGCTGAGCTAAATCCCCAGCCCCCAGTTCTATACAATTTAAACAAATTTAGATTATCCTATAAACAAAAGAGAATAATACTAAGTTATAAATAAATCTTAATTTAAACCATTCAAAAGAAATATACATTGACTAACTTCAGATTAAAGAAGTCTGTCAAACTATAAAAGTTCATCATTTGGTATCTAAAAGAAACATCCAAATGATATTTGAATAAACAAAGATTTTTTAAGAAAAACATTAGAAGAGCAATGGACAGAATAAAGAACCTAGAAATAAACCCACTTAAAGTCATAAGGTTTTAACCAAGGTGCTTACAAAGAACAGTGGAGGACAGTAAACTATACTGAAAAAACATGTAGAAGAATAAAACTAACCTCTATCTCTCATGTTAAAAACATACACTAAAAAATAAATCAACTCAGCCAGGCAAGGTGGCACATGCCTATGATTCCAGCACTCTGAGAGGCTGATGCGGGAGGTTCAAAACTTTTAGCTCAGCATAAGCAGTTCTGTGACTTGGTAAGACCTTGTCTCAAAAAAAAAAAAAAAAAAATAAAGATGAGCTGGAGATGTTCCTCAGTGGAAAGGCCCTGGGTTCAACTCCTGGCAAGGTTTGTTTTGTGTTTAAATGTCTCCCCAAAGGCTCATGTAGTCATGGAGGTGGCTGGGTCTAGTGCTTGTGATTGTCCAGTGCTAGGATTGGTGACATGAATGCTGCACCCGCCTAGGAGAGGTAACCAGCATACAACATAAGGGAGAAAAAGCTTGTTCTCCCCCATTTTTGCTCTGGCTGCTTTTGTAAGCCTTGAAGTGTTGCCCCTGTGCCATGCCACCCTGCCTTGGAGCCAACTGATTATGGACAGAATCCTCCACAAACAGTGAGCTAGATAAACGTTTCCTTACTTCATTTTGAGTATCAGCTATTTTGTCCCAGCAATGAGAGAAAAGTAACCAAGACAGCACCAAAAAATAAAACAAAAGCCGCAATTCAAAATGTATAAATGTCGGACATGAAAATACTAGGCAGAAGCAGGGGAAATGCTCTTCGGGATATTGGTTATGTACAATGATACTATTGGATAAGTTATTCAAAAGCATAGGCAACAAAAAAATAAGAAAAACCATTTTTTCTAAACTAAAATGCAATCAAACTGAAACGATAACCTGTATGATGGAAAAAATACTTACAAATTATTTGTCTAACAAGGGATTAATATTTAGAATATTTAATAACAGCAAAAATACTAACAATAATAATCTGGTTTTAAAAGAGACAAATGATATGAACTAACATTTTTGAAGAAGATAGATGGTCCACAAGCATATGGGAGAGAATGTTCCATGTAACTATAATCATAAACTGCTGTAAGCTATCTTGCTCCAGTTGGAATAGCTATTATCAAAAGACAGGCTGGCAAAAATGCAGAGAAAGAAGAATTTTTATATAGTATTACTGGTGATGAAATCAGGACAGCCATATAGAAAACAGCTTGGAGTTTTCTTAAACCCTAAAAATACCATATGATTCAGCAATCCCACTACTGGGCACATATCCAGAGGAAAGGATATTGGTATGTTGAAAAGGCATCTATAATCTCATGTTTATTGCAGTATGATCAGTAGTAACTTTTGGTCAGGGGCACATACCTGTAATCCCAGCACTTGGGAGCCTGAGACTGAGGCAGCAGGCCCAAGCCCAACCTAAGCAAGCAGTGACTTAGCAAGATCCTGTTTCAAAAAACGTAGGCAAGGGTGCACTGGGGCTGAGGATGTAGCTCAGTGGTAGAGCAACCCTTAGTTTGATCTCAGGACCACAAAAATGAAGAAGAAAATAAAAGCTGAGCTATATGTTATACAATGTAGGCGTTCATCTATGAGTTAATGGCATGGCACATACACATCAGGCCATGGCCTTCAGCCACAGGAAGGAATAAAATCCTGTTTCTGCAGGCAAAATGAATGAGCCCAGAGAACATTATTTTAAGTGAAATAAGAAAAGATCTACAAGACAAATGCCACATTTTCTTAAATCATATGAAAGCTAAAAAAGTTGACCTCATAGAAGTAAGAGTATAAAATGGTCATTAACAGAATCTGGAAGAGTAGGCGGGGAGAGAGGCAACAAGAGGTTGGTTAACAGGTACAAAATTACAGAGACGTTAGTTCTGTTATCCTTTACCATAGGAGGGTGACTACAGTTAAAAATAATTTATTGTATATTTCAAAACAGCTACAAAAGACTACTTTGAAATGTTTCTAACACAATAATAAATGCTTGAGGTGATGTTTATACTAATTACCCTGATTTCCTTACACTGGATATCTCACAATATTAAACTGCATGCCATAAATATGTAGTTATTATGCATTAAAAATGTAAAAGAATAAAAGGTAAAAATTATAGCTGGCAAGCTATTTAATAATATAAACTGATACATTAAAGTCAGACAACATAGACAAAGTTACAGGTGTTATAACTGTAGGTAAAAAATCCCTCTTGACAAGCATGTGTAAATATCATATTGTCTTACTAGTGTGAGAAGCTGAAAGAAACTATCTACACAAAAGATAGCCATGAAAGTTAAACTACTGATTTTTCTGAGCTTTCTTAAAAGTTTGAGCTACTATTCTTTGGATGATTAAATGCAGATGTCTTGTACCCTAAGTAACTGATTTGATAACAATATGCAATATATATACCATTGTTACCATCTAACTGTATTTTGAAATTTTGTTTTCTTCTTTTGCTCTTTAAAATAAAATAAACAGAAAAATTAAAAAGTCTCTCCTGATAAAAGACTGAATTTGTTCTGATGAAATTCTATATTTAATAGAATTCTATATTTAAATGCATCAGATAATACAACTTTCTAAAAATGACACTGCTAACACAGAAAGACACCACAGATGAAAACTACAATAAATTTTATCAGTTAACTGACTCTGATCTCATACAGAACTCTTCCAGAACATACACAGGAGAGTGGAATATCCTTCAATTTGTTTTCTGACTAGAATAATCTTGATGCCAAAGCCAGATAGTGACAGTACAAAAAAAAAAAAAAAAATTACAGCATAATTTTACTACCGCAAAGAACAAAGTCTTAAACAAAACTAAGAGATCAATGTAGAGAGGATTTTATGTCACTGAAACTATTCTGTATGACACAACAATGGCAGCATACACAATGTAATGGTCAAAGCCCACTGCACTGTACAACATCAAGAGCAAACCCTAAAACTGGATTTTGAGGGGTGCCAGGCAGCGTAGGTGCATCAGTCTAAGAGATGCACCCCTGCTGCACATCGGGTCAATGGTGGGGGAAGTCATAGATGAAGGGGAAACAGGGAAATTGGTCATTTTTGTTACAAACCTAGAGCTGCTCAAAAAAGAAAGTTTGTTTAAAAAAACAAAACAAAAACTCAAAATAGCAAAAGTGGCTGATCACAAAAAACACTACTCATGTAATTCACCACATTTGTAAGTTAATAGAAACACAAAATGCTCAATGGACATACATTTGATAAACT